TTTTTTTTTTTTTTTTGTGTGGGTGGGGAGTGGGGACAAAATGTATGACAGACAGTTGGGAATAATAGTGAGCTAGAGATAACGTTTAGTTACAATCAAGAAGTCATAAGGTTTTTGAATGCCTTGAAGAAAGGAGAGATTAACAACATATATAATGCTATAAAGACAAATGAAGAAATGAACGCGAAAAGTTAGGAAGTTCAATGGTATTTCTCTAGGAATTTCCCTTTATTGTTAAATGAATTATCTGTTCTCAGTCATTTTATGGATTAGGAGCTTACTACATTTCAAAGTTCGTATGCTTCTTTGATTATTAGTCACGTTGAATTATTAGTCAACAATTTATTTTATGGGTCCTTCGACTTTTTAATCATATATTTCATTAACTTTTATCAAAATTTACTAAAAATCTTATTTTAAACCCCACCAAACGAAGGCATGTAAAGACCTGTTATTCTATTTTAAAAGGAATAATTCAAATTCTTATATATTTTATATTTATTCAATATGAAATATTTGCCATTAAGTTTTTAAATTAATCAATTAATATCATATTATTCATCGTTGTATATGGCCGTGAACTCCCTAATTAATTGTTCGTGCATTAATTAATAACATTACTTGGATCGATCATTAGTTAATGCAAACTCTAAACGATTAAGCCCATGTTTGTAGAAATTATAATCGAAATTTTTATCAAAGTCAATAGTTAATTTTAACCACATAGGATCCACAACTTTTCAATCACACGTTTCATTAACTTTTATTAAAATTTGCTAAAATGTTTTATTTTAATTTTTACCAAGGAGAGGTTAAATGTCTAATTATATTTTTCTCTCTCGTTACTAAATTGTATACTATATAACAAAATTTTCAATCTAAAAAAATTCAGATAATTTGTATGTCATTGACAATAACATCTCAATGCGTTATATTTTTACAATTAAACTTTGTTGCCAGATTTTTTTAACATCTTTACTGATAGAAGAAGATGTGTAAAAAAATGAATTTCTGAATTTCCTCGGAGAAATTACTCGGCTTTTTCATCACTTGGCCACAAAAGTCTTGGCCTTTTAAACTTTTATAATAAAGCTGCATTGTGATGGTCTAAAGCGGTCCACTACTTCTTTTTTTTTCATTTGGGAATCGAACAAAATGATGAAATGTGGAAGATGCGATTTTTTTCGGTCGTCAGCAATCATCATGCTTTGTTTTGTAGGGATTAAAAATTAAACTTTAAGTTAAATCAATAATTAATTTTAACTAGAGGACAATTTTTCAACCACACATTTCATCAATTTTTATTAAAAACCTGGATTTAGTACTAGATATCTTTTACTTAATAGGGTTTGCCTATTAATTAATTTTATGAATATTTTTTGATCGTGAAAAACGATCTGATGAATTTGATCTCTTTATCATTAAAACCACCTCATATAGTCATCATACTTTTTTGGCCAGAAAGGAGAGGGAAAATGGTTAGCAAACATGAAAAGATATTACTTTAACAAGTAATGATTGTTATTTGAGTAAATTAACCTCTTTGGAAGTTGATCCTTATTTACTTTTTACATGATTATATCCTTTAACAAGTAAAGCCAAATCATTATGCAAATCCATCTTTTCTAATCAATTTCGCACCCAAGTTGTATCGCCAATCAACAAAAGTCGACTTGTGGAAAATGAGAAAGAAAATGCCTGGCTGCTGCTTCTTGTCATCATTCCCTACTTTCACTATTTAATCATTTTTTGATTAGTAATGCTATTTTGACATAAATTAGGTGACAGATAAGGTGGCATAATAAGTGTTTACAAGATGTGATTGTATAAAAAACTTAACTGTATTTTAAACTGTCCAATGACAGATTGTCGTGTGACATTATGCCAACTATTATGTTTATATAGCATGATTGTTTTTCGATGACGCATTCAATCCAATATAAAGGTTGAACCCCAACCTTGAGGAGGCCCCACTGCCCCTTCCCTAGAGTATTGTGGAGGAAGTAAATCGCGAGATGTGCCTCAACAAGTCAAGGTACAAGAGCTGCCATACCGG